TTTTTAGGTTATATAATATTATTATAACGACAACACCTTGAAGGCCTTTCCCTCAGATGGTATATAAAGTATGTTTAGCAACTGGTTAAAAATATTAAAAGGCGAGTTTGTTGCACAAGAGTGTATGAGAATATGTCTTCCATATTACTATCTACAAACGTAGATGCTTTTTATTCCTTTCGTATTTGTTCTTCTTTACAGCCAGCCATAACTTATCTGTAAAAATTATAGTAGTTTAATAGTTTATTGTCTCATTCCAAGCATGTCATATATACAATACATCACAATGTTCAATCATATTAAAAAACATGTTGGACCAATCTCGATAGATTTATAAGAGACATTTAAAAACATGATGATACTGGTAAAATATATTCTATAGCTAAAAACAATTTACTTTATAACCAAGTTACATGTACATGTATATATAACAGACATTTTTGTTTATTCCTTCATGAAAAAACAATATACTTCAAAAAATAATGCCAGAATATTTGTTGACAATACTATGCAATTTACTTGTTATGTGAGTGAGGCCAAATATGTTCATAACAAAAGTGTAAGTCCAGCGCAGCATACATGTACCCAGCATTGCTGTATAATTCTCATTATTCAGTAAAAGAGTAATAATGTTTCCAAAATGAAATGCATATATCATGGAGTATAAGGGTTGTAACCGCCAAAAAACACTTGACTGTGAAAGGTGCGTTGACCTAAAATATTTGAATAAGTACATGATTATGCTAAATGTGTAATCCAATAAGTACAATGATTAAACATGGTGTGTGAGTCCCAAGGTACAAAATTGAGCATGATGTGGCAATAAGTACATGATTGAACATGGTATGTGTTTCCCAATAAGTACAAGATTGTACATGATGCATAACCAAATAAGTACACGGTAGAACATGGTGCGTGAAAAGTCATTATTCTGCACTACCTTAAATGACAGTATAATGAATAATATTACAATAATTGGTTGGTTGGATATATTTGAATGTATAGGGTGATCGCCTTCCAGCATGATACATTTGTGTGCCAGTGTAGATAACATTAGTAGGGTACAAACAAACTGCACTAAACTCAGCCCAAAAATCAACCATTTAAATCAAGCCTATACACAATATGTCTTAATATTCAATGTCGATACACAGTGGCAATGTACTGCTATATCATTGCCACAGTAAAATCTTCCTTCACAACCAAAATAAAACAAAAATATCTGTTTTACATCTTCAATTATAAAATATAAAACTAATTGTTGTTAAAAATTATGTACTATGTACACTACTATTATTACATTTCTACTACTTTGATAAAAGGATTAAAACATCCTATTTACACATAAACAAATTCCTTCTTTGTAGTATCTGGAAGCAGGTTTTGGCACTAACTCTTATTACATTAGTACTACTAAATATAACTTTTAATTTCTCATCACTTTTCAGGTCGATAAAATTGTTAACAGCAACTGCAGCTTGTTCAAAAAGTACATTTCTTATATGTACGGGCGAATTCAATTACATGTCAGAGAAATTGTATTTATAATATAATTACAAATGGACATTATGGCTTTCGATATTACTTCAGTGGTGAAATATAAGTATTATTTATTCAATATTCATACGTGTATATTAAAAGAATTCCACTCTGGTCCAAAAATTGTAAAACAGATATAAAGGCCTCAACAGACTGTAGGATTTTGAAGTACAACACTGCAATAACAAGTAACAGATTGCCAAATTATCTCTAATGAATGAAATTACAGAACAAATGATATGAGGGCTAAAAGGTAAACATAGTAGTAAGATGGGGATAAAATGATATGAAATGATCAATTGGGAGGGAACTATTTTTAGGGAAACCTCAGATGTTTCCTACAATGCAGAATAACGGTCTGAATGCAAGTGTTGTATTGCTTTGAAAGTTGTACATCTTATCTCTAATAAGTGTTGTACAACTAAATCCTACCGTCTGATGTGGCCTTAAGTTGAATATCTTGCATAGAACCATTCGGGTACTTTAATGGCAAATATACTCCAATAATTATGTAGCTCAAAGCGTTTAACTACTTTTTATGTTTGTCATTTATAAAAATTAAAACAATTTAGAAAAAATGTCACTTGTATGCATTTTGATTTTTTTTTTAAATGACATTTCGAAAACATAAGTATGCTTTAACCCGATGATTTTAAAATTAAGTAGATCTTCAATATCATGAACTTTTCTTTCCTGTATGTTTATAAGCGGGAAAAAGAAAAAGAATAAAAAAACATCGAACAGTTTTTTAACTAAAAGCAAAATTGACCAAAACATCAAAAGTTGTATACAGTAACAATTTAAATTAAATGGTACACTTTTGACACACCTGAAGTAATCTGGAAAAACATCTGCAAAAACCTTCAATACATGATGCGCATCTATGTACTATTTGGAACACACATGATGACTTCGCCAAATCATGCACAGTTTTCTCGGGGTTATTTTTTTGTGCCTGGATAAGAAAATAATAAAAAAAGGTGAAGTATCATTAAATGAATAGAAATATATATTTCTCAGAGTAGTTTATACCATTCAATTTGTTTAAACTTACGAAAGAAATAATGAATTTTAGCAACAAATATTTTATTACTCTCTGTTATCATAAAACTATAATTAGTATTAACAGGGTTCGTTTTTTAGGTATTTTTGTAGTACCAAATGTTTTAAATATTAAACGAGAAAAAATGTTTCGGTGGTGCTGTTTTGGATAAGCAAGATCAGCTGGACACATTCTTCTTCTAGGCGACATTCATCATTTACAATGGCTGATATATAAACCCGTGTACTTCGAATTATAGAACACGTGCGTGGAAAACAAATACACATCAGCGCCATTCGCCCGGGTTATAATTATGTGTTCGTTTGGGAGACAATTACACATTTCCTACATGTAATTCCTGCCAACTTTGTCCTTGCCTGATTTAGAAGCGAAATTAACTGTTATCAATTTTAAAAATATCACTGTTATGCTTTCTTGCAATGTGTGAAAGAAACATGTCTCTATCATTTTAACCACAGAGGTGGCACATGGAGGTCGCCAATTTACCATGTGACAATATGTCGCCTCATTGTTTCAGAGGTATATTGCGAAGCAAATCTGAATTCCAATTGACGCTACATAATAGGATTTGACAACCAACAAAAGTTTGCCAATTCTCTTGACCTTTACAACAGCCAATCATCGGCGAGCTTTCAGAATTTCAAAGCAAAGCTGTTTCTAAATCTGAGTAGACAATTTTCACGATTTCGAGAACAAACATGGCATTGTCCATGATAGCCAGCAGAAAAACTTGTCAGTAAAACACTGCGTCTATTTCTTATTTTTTTTCCAGTTTATTTGATTCAAATTATTAACAATTTGATAGCAAAAATCAACAATGTGTTTTACTTCACAATGTGTTTTACTTCAACGGACAACGATATTTTAATATTTCGTCTAATGCCTATCTGTAAAGGGCGAATAAAATTACAAACCGCATCGATCGCTTTCAAAATTGTGAAAGTAAAGCTCACCGATGATTGGCTATTTGAAAAATCACAAAAAGGCGACCCCCTATAGTCCTATTGGTGCTCATCAGATCCTAATGCGTAGCGTTAATAAGGAGCTGATTTATTTCACCCAAAGTTCACCTAAATTAAGCAAATTAACAGATATAAAAATGAACTGTGCATTATTTATAAACTTATCATTATGGTTGGGTTTGTGCATTATCAAACTAATTATAATTGTCTAACATATTTGTAATAATAATTTACCGAAATATACTTAATTTTCCTATATATGTCAGATATATACATAACGTTATACATTATAAAAAGATTACACATTACACTCTCTGTTTTTGTTTACATATTGTTTTGAGTGCTTTTTGGCTTTATATTGCCTGGTATGTCTTTCAGATCTTTGGAATTAAACTGAGAACTACGGCCGTTCTGATTTCTAACTGTACATCTGAACTGCCTACAACAATGCACTCAAAATTTAAAGATAAAATTGCAATTATTTATTCACAGAACTTGCAGTACAGATTTTGAGCAGAACCAATATGTAATATCATGCACAGCAGACTTCATGTACGTGTGCTCTTCACAATTTTACCTCTTTTTGCACAAACTATGCATAGATGTTTGTGTAAGCTCTCAATTGATACAATACATGTGTAAATCAGTTCAGTCTAGCTCGTGTATACATGGTAAAATGCTAAAATTGTTTGGGTAAAGGTCTCCTCTATTAAGAACCGCTGTATACTTGTCATACAGACGAAACACATTTTCATTTTGTAAATAAACTTACCCGAGAGTACTATATGGATTCCTTCTATTAATTATACTCACAATTCGCTGAATTATTTACACAGGAAGTAAGCTCTTCAATTAACTGCCCTTACTTCCGTCACGTGTATAATATACCAGTCTCTTTTTTCGGTGGCCAAATTGGTCGTGTTTTTTCTCTTTCTTTTCTTTAGTTATGGCTAAACTAAAATACCAGAGGAAGGTGAAGTGCTTCCTTCGGACTCGGAGTCGGGTACTAATACGCTGAAAACTCCACTTCAAAGGCGATCCAGATAGGATGTCCTAGAAAACAATGGAATCTAAAATTCTCAGCTCTGGAGTGGAGTATTTCGGTTAAATTGCATGGATATTAGTTGCCAAAATATAATCTGCTCGATCTCGGTGTAACTCTTCCTCGTCTAATTATATTGATAGACACGTGAAGAAAAAGAAGAACAGTGTGAATCATTCTAAATTTGAGTCGGGCACGGATTCTCAGTCGGACAGTGATTCAGATTCAAATTATCCTGGCTTGAACAGTGACACTTTGACTCTAAAAGTTTAGGTCGGGACATTCCAGCAACAAGAAGTGGCCGGGGCAAAAATTTTCGCATCCCCAAGCTAAGGTGCAAAGTTACACTGGACAGTTCAAGAAAAAATCCAAACCCTACTTCTTTTCTAAGCGATCATATGGAAGGAAATTGGAAAATTCAACTCAGCAATGACCATGTAAGTATTCTGGCACGTTTCCCTCAAATTCCGGTAGGTGGTCGAATTTCACTTTTTGTAGAAAATTGGAAGACAACATATTTGCTTCTTCAATTGAGAAGCTCCGCGCAAAAAATGTGCTCATTACAGATACCTTACCAAATTATTCCTACGCACAGGTCATGTTATATTCAGATTAAGTACTATTGTAGATTTTTTCCGAATGTTATGTAACCTATTTTTTTGCATAATTATACTTATCTTATGCACTGTCCATAATTAAAAAGAGGGGAAAGATATTTAATATAAAAATGCTTTCACTGATGCCTACCTGGTAAGGAAAGTAATTCCATGGAATACAAACAAGACTTACACGACTTGTAAATGTTATGTGACATGACTGTACTGTGTTCTGTTTGTGTCACCACTGTAGTCAGTAACAGAAGATGATAAAAGTATCAAAGTCTGTTATAATTGAAATAAATATACAAATAGTAACAAAAGGGACTAATATTATAATATAGTAATATTACATGCATTTTTTCATGTCAAATTAAAAAAATACTGAAAGTAGAACACACCCTGGAATGAAAAAATAGGATGAATTTCAAAAAGACCAAATTCAGGATTTTTTTTGTTTGTTATACACGCGTTACATGGTGATACAGTATTTATCAATATAATAGAAGACTGTTACCTGAATTTTAGGTAGGTATGAGGAAATTCACTAACGTCATATTCGTGCATGACAAAGATATGAAAGCTATTTGACATTGGTAATATATAAAAAAAACTATTGTTAATTAATTTATTGGGAGATCAATATATATTTTTTGTTGAATTGCTTTAAAACCATTCATAAAAAACATTACACTTCATGTTCAAACTGCAAATCAAAGTTTCTGTTGTTGTCATGATATCTATTTATAGCCTATGCTTAAGGTGATTCCGCTTTGTCAGCCATGTTTGTTTTCACTAAAGTCTGTCCAAAGTGAAAGTAGGCCAAAATTCATATAACAAGAAAGCTCTTATTGTATAATGATGAACCATTTGAAAATACACTTCCAGGTTTATATTTTAAGGACAATTATAAACAAAAATAAAAATGATAACAATAAGAATATTTACATTGAATGTGCTACATTTCTGAAGACCAAAACCATTCTGTTGCAAAGTTTTATGCACATTTCATGAATGCAAAATCCTTTTTAAAGTCTGTTTTAGTGCCAACAAAAGCTATTTTTTGCAGCAAATACAAAATCTTTCAAAACTTAACTCCAAATAAATCAGTATCTCATGTCCTTCTAAGCACATGGCCTCCATTATTTTTTGTAAAAAAGTAGTGCCAGAAAACAATAGTACTACTTTTTTACACATGTCATGGTGGCCATGTGTTTTCAAGGTCAGATAAACTACTTTCCTAAGATTTATGATTTTTAAAGTTTTTTTGTATTTTCTGCAAAAAATAGCATTTGTTGGCACTAAAATAGACTTTAAACTGGATTTTGCCATTCATGAAATGTGCATAAAACTTTGCAACAGAATGTTTTTGGTCTTCAGAAATGTAGCCCATTCAAGGTAAATTTCTGAATGTTATCATTTTTATTTTTGTTTAAAATAGTTTTTAAAACATAGAACTGGAAGTGTACTTGCAAATGGCTCATCATATAACAATGTGACCTTTGTTGTTATATGAATTTTGGCCTACTTTCACTTTGGACAGACTTTGTGAAAACAAATATGTCTGACAAAGCGGAATCACCTTAATGAGGGTCCATCCGCTCGTAAGGCTTTCGCTGTCGAGTACGGACCGCCAACAAGTCACCAGTCATTCCATTAACTTTTTTTCTTTTTATGCTGTACCAATGACGCTAATGAAATGTAACCTTATATACTAAAGTTTAATTATTTCAACAACCAATATACCAACATGTTATTATTAAACATTTAATTTCATAAATATAAATTAAAAATAATTATCAAAAGCAAAATTGTTAAAATCTTATGCCTGAAATCTTCTTTATATTGACAAATTCAATCACTAATAGTATACTTGATAGGCTGTGTGTAAATGTAATTCAAAATGTAACAAATTATAATTTCATGTACTACTAAAAAAGGGAAATAACAAATTTATAACCTAAGTGTCAAAAATCAGAACATTTATAGCTATTTATAGCTTTCAAAATTATGTAACAGCAGCATTGCTTTCCGGTTCTCATTCATTAATATGACATGCTGCGAATCACCGACGGGGAAACCAACATAGAAATCGAAAGGAGTTCTTGAATGCGGATTTACTTTTAGCTGTAAACCGAAAGGATTTATTACTCAAATCCGGGCCCATGGACAAAAAAAAGTAAACACAAATAGCTCCGCGTGTAGGCGCGGAGCAATTTAACACTTAAAATACAATAACTCAACTAAAAAAAAACAAACAACAAAATTCAGCTTATATACCCTTTTGTTTGCGTTATGTGCAAAAGTGGACTGGCGCGCGACACATGGAAACCAGTCTGAACGACTCCTTGCGCGACCTGAATACTGCGCGAGCATGCTGACATGCCATAACAATGTTCAAAATGCCGCACAAGTGGTTCATGTATACAGCCTGTTGTGCTAGACTAACATAAAATACATAAATATACATGTTAACATTTGTTCAACTTACACATTCGTAATGTACACAATTGCAAACAAATGTTGAAAAAGCCTTGATTCCGAAGCTTAAATATGCTTTGTTTTTCAGTATTCTAGCTCCACTAAAAACCCCAATCAACGATGAACTTGTTTTTTATTCAAAATTGAAATCTGACCTTTTGATTGACTTCTTCTGTAGTCATTCGTTGCTAAAGAAGTCATTCAAAAGGTCAGATTTCAATTTTGAATCAAAAACAGTGCAACTTAGTGCAGCATAAACTTGCAAAAAGTAAATATATTTGTACTATTTATGGTATACAAGATTGATACACTTACATTTGATTAACTATTCTTTAAACTTGTTAACAGCAGGAAAATAAACTGAGAAAATCCCTTTTTTATTCAACCAAGTACATGCAACCTCTATATAGACAAAGCAGTAAGGAATTTCATTAATAAAATCTGATATTTTTTGGAGATGACGAAGGCTTAAAATAGTTCACTTAGAAAGCTGATTCTACAGGACCTTCACTGGCTGATCATATCTAAAAATAACTGAGCTTTGCCAATGACCTGGACTGTTAATGACAACGAAATGAGTAAAAAATGTTGGCCAGATATACCATCCTAAAAATCAATACTCCTTTCCAAATTTCACAGTATTGTGGCTTTTATAAATGTTTACTGTCACCTTTTCTTTCAATTCGCTATTCACAAAACGATAAACGATTTACTACAGTTCATGTTAATTTTTCGTTTAACTAAGTCGTATTTTGAATCCCGACATGCGCACAACAATGTTTGTAGACTTGATCTAATGTTTGTAGGCTGTAAATGAGATTTATTTAACTAAATTTCATACGCAAAAATGTATGCCGCCAGCAATAAAACTCAACACTGTGGAGAGGTCTGATGATCTCTCCAATAACAGCAGACAAATGAGTTCTAAATGTAGTTCAGAATGGCTACAAACTAGAATTTCTAAAGATTCCACCTTTCTTGGGAATAAAACACACGAAAGTACCTGTAGAACAAGAAAATATAATTCAAAAATAAAAAAAAAGATCTTTTATTGAAAAACGCTATAGAAATAGTAAACAACTCTATATCAGATTCTTGCAGGTTTTTACAGTACGTTGTTCCTAGTTCCCAAGAAAAATGGTAAAAGGAGACCTGTGATAAATTTAAAGCCATTGAACCGGTATTTTAGGAAAACTCACTTCAAAATAGATACTATGCCAAAAGTTCTAAACCTAGTTCAAAAAGAAAATTATGTAATAAATCTGGACTTGAAAGACGGTTATTTTCATGTAAAAATGTTCGATGGTAACAGAAAACATCTCCGTTTTGTTTCAAAAGTCAAGAGTACCAATTTCGAGTCCCATGCTTCGGCCCAACATCAGCTCCAAGGGTGTTTTGCAAAATAATGTCTGTCAAAGAAGCACATCTCAGACAACAAGGTACTTTTCTAACATCTTATCTGGACGATTGGTTAGCTGTCAATCAGACTTTTCCAAGGAGAATGTCAGATCGAAAGATAATTCTAGATCTCCCTTTTCAACAAGGGTAATAGTAAACAAGAAAAAAATCTTCTTAGTTCCTTCTCAGATTTTCATTGGCGATCTATCCGATATGACAAAGGGGTTAGTTTATCCAACACAAGAGAGAACTACAAACCTGAAACAAGCGGTTTTAAAATTGAGAAAAGGCTCGATTTCATCAACACAATATATGATTGTTGTCTTCATCAAAATTCAAAGCTGTTCATAAGGCCGATACAACTTCATTTAATCAACACTTGGCAAGCTCGGCAAGAATGTCTTTGAGTTTCAATATACTCTTGACTCATATGGTGAGATATCATCTACAATGGTGGTAACAGGATCCACACATTGTAAAGGGAATATCTGTTCAACAGATTTCCATTCCAGTATCTGTCACCACCGATGCGAGTGGGACTTGGGGCTGGGTCAGTCACATAAACAACTTTACAGTGCAAGGCCGTTGTTCAAAGATGGAAAAATTACAACACATAAACATTTTAGAAATGAAGGCGGTAATTCTGACAGTCCGCCACTTTCGGTCTGCTCTGAAAAACAAGAATGTTTTGATACGCTCAGACAACACGTGTGTCAGTAATTCTGACAGTCCGCCACTTTCGGTCTGCTCTGAAAAACAAGAATGTATTGATACGCTCAGACAACACGTAAGTGTGTCAGTATATGCATATACGTCCCGCCAATACAACTAAATTCTGACAGTCCGCCACTTTCGGTCTGCTCTGAAAACAAGAATGTATTGATACGCTCAGACAACACGTAAGTGTGTCAGTATATACATCGACAGGGGGTACTCGATGCCTATAATTTGCCTGCTAACTTGGGAGTTATGGGATCTGACATTGATTCACATCATTGGGTGGTTGCAAGCAGTTCACATAAAGGGGAAATTGAATTTTCTGGAAGATTTTCTGAGCAGACAAGAAGTGAGGGATACAGAATGGAGACTGAACAAAACAGTGACACCTTAACGTTTCAATTTTTGGGGTCAACCTCTGATAGATTTTTTTGCAACTCAGGAGAACAAACAAACAACACTGTTCTGCTCGTGGTTTTCACAACCCCAAGCGTTTGCATTGGATGCCCTGTCTATTGCATGGCAGAACATGTATGCATATATGTCCCCGCCAATACAACTAAATCCGAAAGTAATGAACTATATGAAATTATTCAAGTGCAGACTGAAACTGGCCAAGACAGCACTGGTTTCCACAGCTGTTGTAATTATTGATAGCAAAATTAATAAAACTCCCTGTGCCACAGAATCTTTTGTCGCAATGCAAGGGGAAAATATTTCATCAGAAGCCTCAGAGTCTAAAGTTAAATGCATGGCTTCTATCGACAAAGTTTTCAGATATTTTCTGAAAGAACAAGAAATTTACTTGTCGCTTCATGGCGAAAAGGTACAAAAAAGATTATAATTGCAAATTGAAAGAAAATTCAGTAATTGGTGTTGTGGACAACAGATTGATACGTTTTCAGCGTCTTTGAATGATTTTGCTAAATTTTTTAACTTACCTTTATGACCAAGGGTTAAAATATAAGACTACTACAGGGTATCGGTCTATGCTATCATCTATTTTACTTCTTGTGGAAAAATTTCAGATTGGTCAACACCCCTTCATTATTTGCCTTCTTAGAGGCATTTTTAATGAACGTCCATCTTTTAGAAAATTTGTTCCTGAATAGGATTCACCTCTCGTTTTGGAATGCCTGAAGAAGCCACAATTTGAACCGAAGAAGGATACATCTTTGAGGTTTATTACATGGAAGGTGTGTTTTTAATAGCTATTTCCTGTTTTCGTCGTTGTAGTGATCTTCAAGCTTTGTGTTTGGTAGAAGGTAACATAAACATTTAGAAGAAAGGAATAACTTTTATACATTCAGGTTTGGCTAAAAAAGCATTCAAGAAAGATTTTTATTCCATCTTTTTCGAAGGACAAATTTTAAGATCCAAAAAAGCCTTAGGCTTATCACTTGGAAAAGACTGAAAGTTTAAGAGGAAAAAACTCTAAAATTGAACTTAAACTTTTCTAGAGTGTTATTAAACCTCATCATCCAGTGACAAGTCAAACAATTTCTAAATGGTTAGCTAATATTATTTAATATGCTTACAAAGGAATAAGAAATCAACTGGAGAAATTAAAGGTCACCAGACTAGAAGTATTGGACTTTCCTGGGCATTGCTCAAAGGTGCGTCTTTTGATCAGGTACTGGATACGGCAGATAGGTCTTCAGAGACCACCTATATTAAGCATTATCTCAAAAACATAGATACAAGTATTTTTAAATTCAAGTAAATGTTGTTACAGAAGTTACTGTATTTTACCAAGGTGGTGTGTACAAGTTTTTTTAATGTTTTTTTCTGGCGATTTGGGCCTGGATGTTTTGTAAATTTGAGTATTTATGGTTATTCTTATACAGTTTGGATGAACTTATATATATTGTTGTGCAACTGTTAATAGTGGGTTAGCAGTTATACATGTTTAACTGGTTTTGTTTCACTTAACAAGGTGTGGTAATACTGGAAATCTATTAAGGTAAGTGTTTTATGCCTATATTTTTCAAATTTTCATTGATATTTAAACATATTGATGCATTAATGAAAAAAATAGATATTTTGAAACTTAACTACCCATGCACCTCCTTTCAATACTGCTTTTTTATCTTGTTTAATCCATATTGTACTGTCGGGTAAGTTTATTTACGAAATGAAAATTTAAAATTTGTTTTCAAACTTAAGTATGTCGTGTTAATGGGTATAATGAACTTTCTTTTTCATCTGTCACACGGTGGTGTAATAATTTTAAAAGTGGTTAGGATTAAGAAAAAGATGCACCTCATACACGCCGCCCAAAAACTGCAACTTGTCCAAAAAATGATTGAAAAGGTAAAGGATTTGATTGCTACTGATGCAAGATTTACAACTAGGTATATAGCGAAATGTGTTGGTATCTCTATAGGAGCCGCTCAATTCTCAGTCTTGATATAATAATGAGAAGGATAAGTGGATATCCCATCTCCTTACAAATGAGCAAAAACTTGTTCGGTTAAGAATCTCCATACAATTGTTGAAATAGTTCCCTAAATACAATAAGCGATTTTTCGCAAATATCATCACTGGCGATGAGACGTGGGTTCACTTTTATGAGCTACATGCATATTAAATTTCCTTATCATTACCATACAAAAACATGTTTACCTACCTTTAAAGTTAAATTATCAACAGCCTTTTCTAAGTGGACAATTATGTTGTCCTTTGATACCATTTGTGCAGACATTTTTGCCGTGATGGTTCTTTCTATTTCCAAATCAGTTTTGTACTAGAATTACACTTGTAAAATTAGCAAAATCGTTGAATATTTGAACATACCTATGTATATGAAAATTATAATGTAAATATATAAAAATAAACAAAGGTCTGCTTAAATAAGTAATTTTATTCCCTTTTTGTTTTAGTACAAAATAATGAAAATATAAGTATTTCAAACCCTTCAGTAACCAAGACCAGCACTAAATCTTTATGTATATATATATATATATGAGATAAGATTAATTTTTACTGTCAAATACATTGTATCCTCGCTCGCCTGATATCTGTCCATTTATTTAATTTGATGGTAACGAGGATACCAACCAAGTTTTCGATGGAATGACTTTTTTCTGGCATTTTCTGCCATGTTTAAAGTGGTTTACCTCTATAATTCGTCATGGAAATAATTCATTTCCTACCTATCTATATTCTTATAGTTGCGGATGAATTGACTTAATAGAATGCGATTATTATACGTCATTTTGGAGTACTCGACACATCTGGCATGAGTGTAAAATAATAAATTTTTCGGCATGGGTTAAATTACCGAAAACACCACTATCACCACCATGAACACATCTTACATTTTCAAACACAAAATAAAGGAGTGCATCTGACTGCTTATTCCTTTAAGTGAAATACAACACAAACTGAATGTTTTTTATACATAAATTATATAAAATATATTTACCTGCTCTATCTGTCGACGTAATTCAATGACAGCAAAGCGAAGATCGTCGACACTAGCTTTAAGGTACACGCACTGATTCGCCTCCTAAATAAACCATTAAGTAAGGTAAACAAACACTAAGCTACTACCCCCCCCCCCTCAAAAAATAAAATAAAAGGGCGTCTTTATATACGAATATGATTGAAACTAATTGGTACAGAGAAAAGAAAAACGTATGTGTTTTCACAGCTTTATAGTCCTTTTTATACGCCCTTTTGAAAAATGGGTCGTATTATAGTTTCACCCTGGCGGGAGGTCTGGCGTCAAAATTTTGTCCGGAGCATATTTTCTACACGCATGGAGTAATTTTAATGAAAATTCATAGAAATGTTTACCACTATGAGAAGCCGTGTAGCGCACATGAACCAGATCTCCAGGTCAAAAGTCAAGGTCACACTTAGAGGTCATTGAAAAACGCTTGTCCCCGGAGTAAAACTTCTACATGCATAGAGGGATTTCAATATAACTTACCACAAGTGTCGCATGTAAACTTTAGGTCCCTGTGGTCAAGGTAAAGGTCACACATGTGGTCAACGTTAAGGTTAAAATAAGAAATTGTGTATTTGGACCATTTAAAGTTTAGTCATCATTTATTGAGGGTTTAAAAAAACAAATTGTCATTATCATGACTACTGATGTGAAACATGTAATTTAAGTTAATATATTCAAGGTCAAGGTCACTAAAGATAATAAAAATATAGTCTTTTTGTCCAAAGAATATCTATAATGCCCATATCTCTGTCAAAAGCTTTTGTGACGGGCGTATTTTGCGACATTGTTGTCCTTGTTTAAATTGGTTTTGAGATAAGAGAACTAGCTTGGAAAATATGAATTTGGTATCGATTTGCTTATTTGTGCCGCATTTTAACTTCATATCATTTCTGAAGTCACAGTCAACATGTGATGGCCACCCCGTATAACCCACAATGTTGATTTCAGAAGTTCAGAAATATACATACCGAAATGGCGACAGCATGAGCTATATTTAGATTATATCCAACTTGTGCTTTGTATAATCCTGCAAATATTTCATTTGTCGGTAAACCCTATAAATACATATTAAACAAAACAACAAGTTAAACATAATGCATGTATCAAGATATAATATTATCATCATCGAAAAATGTAGTAGAATAATATTCCGGAACAAAATTTGGATATCGAAACATAATATTGACTGTTCTTATATCGAAAAATAATATAGAACTGATATTGATACAATAATAAAGCATTGATACCGAAGTTGACTGATATTGGACTGATATTGAACTAATATCGTGACGTAATATAGAACTGATATTGGGACAATAACACATGAAGCTGATTAATAAAGCTGATATCGAAACTAAAAATAAAACTGATATTGAAACAAAACAAAGTACTGATATTGACATATCATATAAAACTGACTTCGAAAGATTATAGAAATTATATCGAAACCTAATATAGAACTGATATAATAACATAATATAAAACTAATATTGAAACATGATATAGAACTGATATCGAGACATTATACACATTGCATTACATATATCAAGACATAATATTGAAACGACACTGAAACATAATTTATAACTGATGCCGAAACATGATTAAGAACTGATATCGAAACATGATTTAGAAGTGATATCGAAACATAATTTAGAACTGATATCGAAACATAATTAATATAGAGCTGATATCAAAACATGATATAGAACTGATATTGAGGCATAATATTGAACTGATATCGAGATATGATCGATATCGAAGTAACATCGAGACATAATATATAACTGACATCGAAACATGATTTAGAACTGATATCGAAACATAATGTAGAACTGATTTCGAAATCTTATACAAATATGATACAATATGTATATTATGTTTTAGTATAGATGCATAATTTTGATAATAATTGTATTATGTTAATAGCTATTTGTTTGGCACTACTGTATACAAAAAAAATTCTAACATGTTTAGGTACAAAATGTATAGATGGTCTTTAAACTGCTAGTTCAGATATCATTAGAGTTTTAAAAGATGTTTACTAACCTCTATAATCCCCTGTAATTTCTTTACTTGAAAATTAGTTTGAAGGTTATAGTCACCATTTGAATCGACGTCAATTCTAGTCCGGCATACAGGACACCAAATCTCCGAATGTGACGTCATAATTTGGTGTTGTATTGTTGCCTTTATACATTCTTCACAGAATGTATGAAGGCATTTTAGTACCTTCGGATATTGAAATTCTTTCATACAAATTCTGCATTTCAGGAATTCCTCAAAAATGATTTCTTTTATAGTTTGTGACATATTTAACAGAAATCTAAATGCTCTGAAAGAAAAAGGGAAATGTATTGGTTAATCAATGTAAATGCTTGTAAAAAAGTTTACATTAAAAAGTCAGGTATTAAGTTAAAGCCTATAATATTTTTTGCAAAGGAAGTAGAGTTTCTTCTGAACATTGTTTCGTCTGATAGTATTAAAACCGATCCGCAAAAAGTAAACTGTATAAATTTAAGTCATGGGCAACGCCTGGAAATGTTCATGAACTCCGTTCATTTTCAAGACTTTACAGTTATTACAGAAAATTTATAACATGCTATTCTGATATTGCTAAACCTTGACACCAATTAACAGAGAAGTCTAAAAGATTTGATTTGAATACCGAATGTTCAAAAGCATTACAGTATCTTCAGCAGAAATTAACAGAGGCGCCTGTGCTATCAATCAGACTTTACACGGCGATACATGTTGGATACTGATGGTAGCAAAGTTGCCATTGAAGGAATTTTGTCATAGAAAATAGATGGACACGAACGGTTATTACTTATGCAAACCGATATTTAACAATTAAAGACTGAACGGAAATACTGTGTCACATGTACATAGCTTTTAGCACTTGTATATTTTGTCAAATCTTTTAAACGTTATTTGTATGACAGTAAAAATAATCATGGATCACTTACTTTGATTATGGCTTATGCAGTTAAAAATCTGGAAGGACAAGTTGCAAGTTGGCTTAAAATACTTGCTTCATTTAACATTTAACATGTTAAATGTATTTCAAGAAGGATATTCACAGAAGTAAACATATAAAAATAAGTACACAGCACTGAACATTCAGCAAAGGAAACTTCAAGTACAAGTTAAGAGTGTATAAAAATTGGATATGAAGATTCTGATCGGGATCGGGATCCTTACATTGAAATATGTGAAGAAGCTACTGATAATGTCACAGAATAAAGGAAGTAGATTAGATGCTATAAAATAATAAATGATGGAAATAATTTGTCTTTAATCAAATAATCATAAGGCAAAGAAGTCAGAAGAAAATGTAGTATCATAGAGGAATAGCCACGGTAAACGTTACACATGCTTAAATAATGTCAGAATAGGAGAACAAATGCTTAAGTCTCTCGATTCGAATTTTCAAACTGTTAAATCTGCACATTTATGAGTCAATAAGTGATGATACTACGGTGCAGGGTCTAAGGAAATAAATGACTATATGATGGATCCAGTTCCTTACATGCGAAGGAAAACACACCTTTAAGAAACTAAACTACTTGTAGTAATGACCGAAAAATATCTCTTACCTGTCATCCTCAATCTTGAATATTCTACACTGTGGTGAATATGCATTATCGTTCCTTGAATATTTTGCAATACTTAAGTTGCTGGGCCGGAAAGTGATAATCTTTTACTCTGGCTTGCACAATGTCTGGACTTATTTGTATTTTATTCTGATAAACCTATGGTTAAATTCCATACTATGATATAGGCATAAGCAAGATTAATACTTGATTGATTCTTAACATTCCAGTCCTGATTGAATTTAAAATATATAAACTTGAAAGGAATCCTAGAGCAAAATACACCTATTCGTGTTTACACATTGTCGGACCCCTACAGTACACATACCGTTTACACTATCTACCAATACTGGTATACGGTAAATAGTCTGGGTTAATAGGGTTTTTTTTAAAGTTTAATTGATATCTCAAGGCCCAACTGGGCATGTGAGAAAACAACAATTAATATAACTGTTTTATATGTGTTAATTTGGTGTGGTTGCAGAGAATACGAGATGTTGATACTATGAGTTTATTTCTAAGACTGTTTAACAATATGTAGTCAATTGGTCAGTACACTAAGTAGGCGGAGCCTAACAATCAAGTTTAAAGGTACTGCATGCAATATATATTTAATGTAGAATTAAATATGAAACAATATATATTTAATGTAGAATTAAATATGAAACATCTCCCTTCTTTTAAAAAAAAACAACAAGAAATTTCTAAAGAATCTCAAGGCAAATAATGTTGATATCACTTGTATCTGATTTATCTTAATGTCTGTTTTATTGCCATGATAATGTTCTCAGTTCTATTCCTCCACAGATGTTGTAAAAATGTCAGCAAATTATTTATGGCTTATCTGTGAGGTAGAATGTCCATTTAATTGATAGCTGATTTCACGCTAGTTCCATGGTGTATCATTACACTAATAGGCACTATAAATTCACACTGACCTCAAGAATGATAATATTGTTTCTTTGTACTGTAGAGATATTTGTATGCAAGACTATACATAAACACATATATCATTTTAAGAGCCAACATAACATTATTAAAATAGCATGTATAAGTAACAAATTTCTACATGGTAAGTTTATGAGGTTTTTTAACACAACGACCTGATCTTGTTTTATATTCATTGCTGCATTCTCAGACAGGGGTGATTGATGTTTGACAGGCGAGGTTTGTTTTGGTGTCTGGGGCTGTAAGACAACAGGGGATTTTAGAGAATAAACGTCTTGACCTGGTGTCAATATTTTATTGGCAGGGTCATTTGTACTAGGGTTATGAACATTTTTGTTATAGGATTTAATTTCTAAAGGTGGTTGGTGTAATGTAAAATCTGAACTGTTCTCAGTTTCAGAAAATGGTTGTTCATTTGATTTTAGAAGATTGTATCTATTTCGTCTATATATTGCACCATCTTTTGTTCTTACATCATAAGATCTGTCATGAACTTTATGCATAACTTCTGCAGGTAACCAACTTTTTCCTTGCCTAATTCTAACACCTTCTCCAACTTCTAGAGGTTTGAGGGTTTTAGTTGACCTGTCATTATAATATTTTGACCTTTGTTTAGCATTAAACATGCTGTCTCTGATAACCTGTGTGTCAGGAACTTTGGGATCAAGTTGCTCTGACATTGATGGCAATGTTGACCTTAACTGTCTGCTCATAAGCAGCTGTGCTGGAGATTTTCCACAGGGTAATGGGGTATTGCGATATTCCAGCATTGCAAGATAAGGATCTTTTCCTGTTTGTAATAATTTTGTAAACAGATTTTTGACAGTTTTGACAGTGATTTCTGCCAAACCATTGCCTGATGAATGACCTGGGGATGATGTAACATGAGAAAAATCATACAGTTTTGTGAACTGTAAGAAACTTTCTGCACTGTAACATGGGCCATTATCTGAGTATAATACTTCAGGTATTCCATGTCGGCTAAAGAAGCCTTTCAATTTGTTAATGACTGTACTAGATTTTTTACTTGAGATTTGACTAACTTCAAAGTACTTGCTGTAAGCATCAGCTAATAACACATAATCTGAATTATTCCAATGAAAGAGATCTGTAGCACAAATTTGCCACGGCCTATCAGGTATTTTATTTGGTCTCAAGGGTTCTTTCGGGTTTGAACACCTATGCTCTATACATATAGGGCATTACAGGACTTTTTTCTTTATGTCTGTGGCCATGTTTGGCCAAAAGAGCACGTTTCGAGCTCTATTTAAGCATTTTTCTACACCTAAGTGTGCATCATGAATAATGTCAAGCATGAGTGATCTGAGCTCTGCTGGAACTAGAATTTTAGTATTCTTTAAGATGACACCATCTATAACTGATAGTTCATCTCTGAAATTCCAGAATTCCAGAATACTTTGAGGGCAATCTGATCTATTATTAGGCCATCCTTCATGAATAACTGATGAAAGAATTTTCATTTGTGTGTCAGATTTGGTTGTTAACCTAATTTGTTCCATTTTTGGTCACTCACTGGTAAGTTAGACATTATTGTGTGTGCATGTGTTTCTAGATTAGCCGATTCGGCTATTTCTGGGCATGTGTCTGGTAAGAATTTCCGAGACAGACAATCTGCCATGGGTATATCTTTCCCGGGGATGAAAACTACATCAATATCATACGGCTGCAAATGCAGTAATATGCGCTGCAGTCGTGGAGGTGCTGAGTTCAAGCCTTTTTCCCATATAGCTTGGAGAGGTTTATGATCACTTTGACATGTAATACGTTTACCGTAAATGTACTGGTGGAATTTTTTACATCCGAAAAGGATAGCGTACAATTCCTTTGTGATTTGGGCATAATTGACCTCAGTAGGGGTAAGTGACTTTGATGCAAAACCAACTGGTTTACCCTCCTGCACTGAAGATAAACCATACTTGGACGAGTCGACTTGAAGAGTAATTTCCTTATTTGGGTCAAAATAAGAGAGAATTGGACCAGGGCTTTGTGTAATAATGCTTTTAGCCTGTTGTAGGGCATTTTCCTGGGGTGCATCCCAGCTAAAATCTACATCTTTAGAAAGAAGCTGTCTCATGGGTGCAGTAATTTCTGAGAGTTTGGGCGCAAATCTCTGTAAGTATGTGACCATGCCTAGCACTGTTTGCAATTCCTGTTTAGAATTAGGAGATGGCATCTCTGCTATGGCCTTGGCCTTTGCAGGATCTATTTTTAAACCTTGATCAGTAATTAAGTGGCCAAAGAAAGGTAACTCTGTTTTCCCTATTTCTGTTTTGTCGGGATTGAGCTTGATACCTATTAATTGGCATCTTCTCAAGAGTCTGTCCAGATTTTGGTCATGTTCTGCCCTATCTTTGCCGTAAACAACAATGTCGTCAACAATGTCGTCTTACTCCTGGCAAATTTTCCAGACACTGTTCCATTTTTGCACAAAATGCATCATTTGCATTCTTTAGGCCATATGGGAGTCTTAGGAATCTGTATCTTGCAAAACAACTGTTAAAAGTTGTCAAGTAAGATGACTTTTCTGTTAGTTGGATAGACCAATAACCACTACATGCATCTAATTTTGAAAACACAGTAGCATTTGACAAGTCGGGCAATATGTCGTCGATAGTCCTATTAGGGTAATGAGGTCTTTTGATGGCATTGTTAAGATCTTTCGGATCTAAGCATAACCGTAAAGAGCCATTAGGTTTTTCTACTACAACTAGACTATTCACCCAATCTGTAGGTTCTGTGACTTTCTTAATAATACCTAAACTTTCCATTCTGTCAAGTTCTATTTTAAGTTTGTCACGAATGGCAATAGGAACTCTGCGTGGAGGGTGAACTACCGGTGTGACATTGCCATGCAACTGTATTTCAAATTCCCCTGGCAATTTTCCTATTCCGTTAAAAACATCTGAGTAAGTACTGAGCACTTGCTCCTTTGTGATAGCCACTGTGCATGTATTAGACAGAACTAACTTAATTAAGTTTAACTTAACCCATTACTTCATGAGCATTTTGTGAAAAATGGCTGTTTTCATTGAAAAGTCTCCCGTTACAAGTTCAAATTGCTATAATACTATAAAAACTGCTTCAACACTAATCAAACTTGGCACAAATGTTGACTGGACCATTGCACTTGCAACAACATGCTCAGGCTTAAATTTTCTGTTACCATGGCAACGAGGGGACATCTCAAAATTGCCAAAATCACTATTTTGCGTTGATTTTTTCCATCAAAATTGATTTCAAAGTGCTGCACTTTCTCAATGGATTGAGATAGAGTCAAATGCTTTTCAGCGTTGGTTACACGTTACCTTATGATCAATCTGGGGTCATTTACAGCCTCTCCCAAGTCCAAAATTTTTCTTGGCGATGAGGGGGACTCCGCCCCCCTTCAAACCCCCCAAACAGAAGGGGGCACATCCCCCTTCTGGCAACCCCCGTGATGTATCTTTTGGTTGGGGGGCCGCGCCGAAAAAGAGGTCACTTTTTTTAACAACATTTCTCAAACAAAAACAAGTGTTTGGGGCCTAAATAAGGCATTTTTTCATCATTTGAGACAACAAAAAGGGGGGTGAAAAAGGCGTTAAAAGGCGTGTATATGAAGTAATGGGTTAACTGAAAATGATGAAAATACTTGAAATTATCCTAAATCGCGTTTTTTCATGTTTAAACATGGCCTGTCATATAAATTTGAAGAAAAATTGTTGTTTTGTAGATTTTTTTATTTTTTTCATTAACCCATTACTTCATGAGCATTTTGTGAAAAATGGCTGTTTTCATTGAAAAGTCTCCCGTTACAAGTTCAAATTGCTATAATACTATAAAAACTGCTTCAACACTAATCAAACTTGGCACAAATGTTGACTGGACCATTGCACTTGCAACAACATGCTCAGGCTTAAATTTTCTGTTACCATGGCAACGAGGAGACATCTCAAAATTGCCAAAAATCACTATTTTGCGTTGATTTTTTCCATCAAAATTGATTTCAAAGTGCTGCACTTTCTCAATGGATTGAGATAGAGTCAAATGCTTTTCAGCGTTGGTTACACGTTACCTTATGATCAATCTGGGGTCATTTTCAGCCTCTCCCAAGTCCAAAATTTTTCTTGGCGATGAGGGGGACTCCGCCCCCCTTCAAACCCCCCAAACACAAGGGGGCACATCCCCCTTCTGGCAACCCCCTGATGTATCTTTTGGTTGGGGGCCGCGCCGAAAAAGAGGTCACTTTTTTTAACAACATTTCTCAAACAAAAACAAGTGTTTGGGGCCTAAATAAGGCATTTTTCATCATTTGAGACAACAAAAAAGGGGGGGGGTGAAAAAGGCGTTAAAAGGCGTGTATATGAAGTAATGGGTTAAGGCATGTTTGAAGACCTAGAATGGGGCTTGAATGTGTATCTACTATGTAAAACTCTTCTGTAGAGATTTGACCTTTATATGTACAAGGAAGATTGATACAGCCATCGACTTTGAGAGGATGACCATTGTATACGGTTAATAGCTTTTGTGTTGGAAGTACAGGACCTAATTTGCCTAATGATCTGAATATTGACCTTGGGAGAACATTGACCTGAGCTCCTGTATCAATTTTCATATTAAGTTCTGTTGAGCAAACTTTGACCTTAGCAAATGCTTGATTTGTTGTGCTGTCATGCTCAACTGTATAAACATAAATGTCATTATCATGACTGGGTAAGGGAACAATCAAGATCATTTGTGTTAAAATTTGTTACCTCATTAACATTTTTGCTTCCTAAATCCTGTTTTCTTTTCCTACACACTTTTGCAAATGATAAAACTTTGTACAGTACAAACACTTTTGACCCTTGGCTGGGCATGTATCACGTTTTAAATGGTAAGTCCCACAGTTATTACAGTTATTTGTATTTCCAGTAGGTACTCGTTAATTGTATCTAGTGCTGTGTTTGCTGCCATCTGTCTTCCTGATTTGCGTCCGAAACTGCTTAAATGGTGCTGCTGCTGTTGCTGCTGAGGATTTCTTGACTGCATTGATGGATTGGGCTTGGCCGCTTATATCCCTTAGCTGTGTCTGACTTAATGCATAAGTGCGAGACAAGTCAATACATTTTTCAAGTGTCAAGTTTGATCCTTCATTGATGAGTTTCTCTCTTATCTGGTGGGAACGTACACCAAATACAATGTGATCACGTATCATCTCGCTTTGTATCTCGTCTGCATAACCACAGTCCTTTATTAATAATTTTAACTCTGTGACGAATTCTTCAAAGGTCTGTCCTTCAGATTGCATGCACGACTTAAATTTTTACCTTGAGTATATGTGATTGACTTTGGGTGCGCAATATGTCTCGAAACCTTGATAATATGTCTGAAGCAGTTTTCTTTCTTCAGCTGTAACTGTCCAGGTTGAAAATATTTGGCGACCCTTTTCACCAACCCATAACATTAAGTAATTGCACTTTGCCTCCTCTGTTTTCTTCTCTAGTGGCCCTCCAAACATAAAGTCACAATGTTCTTTTAAACTTCTTAAATGCAGTTGGCAAGTCTCTAGCTTCCCAGTCCATTCTTGGATTTGTTGCTGAATCCATCTTTTTACAATGGTTATAAATCCAGAATACGTTTAATTCCTGTTATTTTAATTATTATTATAAATAATTATAATCCTTTTATTCTGACACCATGTTTTATATGTGTTAATTTGGTGTGGTTGCAGAGAATACGAGATGTTGATACTATGAGTTTATTTCTAAGACTGTTTAACAATATGTAGTCAATTGGTCAGTACACTAAGTAGGCGGAGCCTAACAATCAAGTTTAAAGGTACTGCATGCAATATATATTTAATGTAGAATTAAATATGAAACAATATATATTTAATGTAAAATTAAATATGAAACAATAAAAAAACATTTCAAAACAAAGCAAAGTGACATATAGTAAAATGATGAAACTCTGGCAATGCTATGAACATATATATTCATAAGAAAAAAATAAGAAAGAAACAGAAGATTGCTAGATTGAGTTAAACGTTTTTTTCTTTCACTGTTCATTAACTTTAAAAACACGTTATGTTTATAAAATACGAATTGTCAAAAAGGTCTTTCTCAGGTATTTAAAACAAAAACAAGTAAAGAATAACGGAATTCATCACCCCATAAACATCAACTTCTTAAGATTTCTATCTAAATAAAAAAACCTACCTGGTTCAGTTCATACATCTTTATTTGAAAACTCATTTGCTACATCTGATGGTAAAATGTTAACTTATTTTTCAAAACCATATCCAGTTTGATTTTTTTTATTCTTTTGACATTTACTGGATTCAAACATAGAAGTTTGCCAATTTTGAATAAATTAAAACTGATCTTTAATTCTAACAGAAATGATTTTCATGAAATGAGGCACGGAGTTTACAGTTTGAAAAATCCAATAGCTTGACAAACCCACGGGGGAGGAAGTGTTACACGAAGGATGGAGTTCTTATGATAACTTGTTCAGGAGTTCTTGTGATAACTGTCACGGAGTTTGTCGGAAAACATCTGTATATACTACAAAAACACTCGTCAAAAATGGTTATTTTCATCGTTCAAAACTGAGTTTAGGTGCTAAATTAAACTTTAATGATTACGCTTGTCTTACGTCTTGTATTATGTGTCTAAAACTAATTCACAGGCTATTTTTCATCGCCTCTTGCTTCAAATCTGGTAGTTTTGAGTAAAATTTCCAAATTACTTGCCAATTCACAAGTTTTGACCTGTTTATTTCTGGTCTTCATCCTTGCCATACATAATTACCTAATTATAATGCAAAATTGTAAACATAAAGCACGGGCTAACAGACTTATAACCGATTTTTCAAATGTCCCGGAGTTCTTGTGATAACTCTGAAGATGTCACAGAGTTCTTATGATAACTTTTGTTATTGCCAGTGTGTTTCTTGCGCTAAATCACTGCACGTTTTGGCGTTTATTATCATTCAATGAGATTGTAAATCATTATGAAATGCAGAACGATCTTCCTTTGCACAAAAATGTGGATAAAACGTTGGTCTTGAGTGTCTTATAAGGATAAATAGGTGATAGGCTATTATCTACAGTAAAAATTGAACCAGTTAAACCACAAAACAAAAATGTCTCAAAACGTACACGTTGTTCTCAGTTTCACATGTTTTAAGCAACCACCTTTCTTAAGCAGACAATATATAGGCATGCTTTCCTTAAATTTGAACTGTCCCTCCAGGTTCCAGATTTACCTAGAATGGGATTTCAGTTATTGTGCATGGGCATTCAAACTAGAATTCCCCAGGTGTTGCTTGTAAGTGTTGTAAGTTCTCTAACGTAACTTAAAACAACAGACAAAACTTTGAAACATTTTAATCACTGTACTATTATAACTGCTGTATTACATAGAAAGCAAATGTTTCTCTGATTGATGCAGTAACAAAGATGCTTAACTGAGAATAAATAGACTGTATGCCTGGATGAAAATGATAAAGGGCCAGAAAAGTACTAGGGCCGGAAACTGCTAGTAAACCAGTACATACATCCTTTTTCCAGTCTACGAAATCTGCGTCAAACAAAATAATACTATGGTGAGAAATAATATCTCTTGAACTAAAATGCACTCAAAACCAACATTATATATCCTATTTTTTGCGCAAAGGATGAGCGTACTTCATTTCATAATGATTTACAATCTCATTGAATAATAAAAAACGCTAAAACGTGCCGTGATTTAGCGCAAGAAACACACTGGCAATAACAGAAGTTATCATAAGAACACTGTGACATCTTCAGAGTTATCACAAGAACACCGGGACATTTGAAAAATCGGGTATAAATCTGTAAGCCGGTGCTTTATGTTTACAATTTTGCATTATAATTAGGTAATTATGTATGGCAATGATGAAGACCAGAAATAAACAGGTCAATACTTGTGAATTGGCAAATAATTTGGAAATTTTACTCAAAACTACCAGGTTTTAAGCAAGAGGCGATAAAAAATGGCCTGTGAAGTAGTTTTTGACATATAATACAAGATGTAAGACAAGCTTAATCATTAAAGTTTAATTTAGCACCTAAAACTCATTTTGGAAAGATGAAAATAACCATTTTTAACGAGTGTTTTTGTAGGATATACAGATGTTTTCCGACGAACTTCGTGACAGTTATCACAAGAACCCCTGAACAAGTTATCATCAGAACTCCATTTTTCGTGTAACACTTCCTTCCCCGTGAAACCAAGTATGAACAAATTTCAACCAAGAAAAATTTACATCAAAATAAGAGTATATGGTGAAGGTTCTTTAAGTAAGTCTGAAAACTTATTAAATATATTGCAATTGGAAACGATTAATTATCTCTACATTTCCTACTCCCCAGACCTCTGATCAGTATAAAATAAAGAAAACAATTGATTAATCAAGCCCGAGAAGCTATGTTTTCTGTGTAAGCAATGTCCCTTAAACTTGCCTAATCATTGATCTTCATTTGCGTGTATTTGATGCTGTGGTGGCTCCTTTGTGCTTAAAAATTCCCCGTTAAATGAAAACTGAACACTAAGATAATCACAACGATCTCAAGAATGTTTAACTCTAGAGAATTAATATATTGCAATCCCATTTTACTTTTACAAAACATTACATTTTTTAGGCAGTGTTTACTTTTAAACGCCAAGCATTACACTAATCAGACATTGCATTTCATGTTTGTGTAAATGATTAGAACTTTACTGTGTCGTCAGCATAGAGTAACATACACTATTTATGATAAACTTAAAACAACAACTGCAAAAGCGAGGGTAGTTCTGAAGCTGTCTATCAGTATGTCCGTCTGTCTGTCTGCCTGTATTTGCCAAAGTGATATGATATTTTGCGGTTGTTTCTGTTTACTATAATACACTTTCAACCCATGTAATTTCATTTTGATTGTTTGTTTGTCTGTCCGTCTGCTGTTAGCTCTTATTATAAAATTACGATATTTGTTACATGTAATTAAATACAATTAAAATCATCAGAATAACACCTATATTGTATATGTGATCAATGAGTCAAACTTATTTAGTGTGTTTGATCAAGATATGAACAAAGCTCATTTGGTGTTTAAAGTGAAAACCTTGTCTGAGGTCATCCTTAGAACCATCAGGGCGCGCGAGGAATTGCCTCATTTTCTTTCGTCGTCAGTTTCTGTTGTCAGGGCGTAATAAATGTACTAAAGGTGATACAGAAACACTCCGAATTACCGAACAAGTTAAATGATATTTATTGCACGTCCTTTTAATCTGTCCTTTTAACAAGAAAACAAGAACAACAACAATTTATCAGCTCGTGTCCAGTGCATACATGTTCAAGCAACATAAAAGGCCAAAGAGATGGCGGGATTTCATCGCAATATTCTGTACCCCCCCCCCCTGAAAAAAAGGAAGAAAAAAAACATCGCCATTTATTATAATTAAAGCATATTGATTGTAGTTTCTATAAACCTATTTCTTAAGTAACGCAGCCCAAGCAAAAGTACAGAAATTCACGATGGCCGCAAATATGACCACCAAAACAAAGACAATTTTAAAGTAAAAGTCAAGAAACAAAACTTGTATGGTATTTTCAATATTTTTGGTGGCCATCTTGAATTTCTGTACTTTTACCCTGGCTGCGTCACTTAAGAATGTTTTGTTTTGATGATACAGTAGATTGCAATAAAGCCCCGCCATCTTTTAAAGTAATAGTATTAGTGTTGAGTTGTTGACATCGATAATCACGAAGTTTTACCATGCATTTTCCCTGCCCATAACCCGTTGAGTGATTTTGTTCTCATACCAAAAAGAATCATTTTGATGAAAACAAGTTAGTGATGTCGCATTATTTTAATAGGCTGGCGACTCGAGGAATTTCGCTGTCTTTCGGTAACACAACACTTTCAAAATCCACAGAGTCTTTATAAAATAATGCGTATGATCAGGAAAAAATCACATTTACATTGTCATATAAGCCATATACTTTATTTTTTTTATATGGTTGAATGCGGACAAATCTCAGAAGCACGTCGGTTTGAACGTTTTAAAAAATGTGACATCAAAAATGATACCGCATGTTCATACAATAATATCTTAGTGCATCAAGGGTCTTAAAATAGAATTCTATTTGAAAGACCATCGTGCATCGTATCTGTCAAATTGCAGAACATTCATTTGTCGCCCGAATTTCCATAAAATAAAGAATTGCATATGCCGAAGGTTTGTCTAAGATATAGATCTCAATTGCATTTACAGACTAAAAAATGTTATTCTTAAAATGAATAGAATTCAGTATGTCAAAAAGAAACATTATTCAATGCTTAAACGCTGGTGTAACTATTTAGTATTGTAATTTTCGCACGCGTTTTGTTGTTGTTGTTGTTATTGTTATTCCTCTTCAAGAAAATTGTTTATGCCTTTTCTTGCACGATTCGTCGTTGAGTTTCAAGTTGACTTTTAAAAAGAATAAAATGACAGATGAACGGTCATAGGTTCATAATAAATGAATAAAATGCATGCTATTTACATTTAAAACACAAAATATTATAAATGTTATTTTTTTAAAGGCCAAATAATAAGCATTGTTTGACATCTATTTTATCTACATATTTGATATATCACACATTCTTTTGCAAATGTAGCCTTTTGAAATATAGTATTACAATTTTGATAATATTAATGATGTTAGAATTAAAGATTATGAGAACTGACAAGTGCGCGCTCACAAAAAAGAGCATAAAATAATACAAAGCCATTCTTTAAAAGTATTACAAGTGTTTTTATTTATTCTTTGCTGTAGGAGGGATAACTCTACAGGATACATTGACAAAGTGTATGAACTATAGATTTACCACCCTTATTTTTAACATTTTACAAGCAAAATATATTGTTTGAAAAATAATCTAATACTAAGAAAGTACTAAAATCTCTCTCCCTCTCTCTCTCTCCCTCTCTCTCCCCCTCTCTCTCTCTCTCTCTTTATTTCTGTCCTATCCAGAATACGTACATATACTTTACATACACTGATACAGTGTGTAAATATATTTAAGTAACAGCTGCATATTTGTGTCTGGTTAGTAGTGGTTATCAAAGCACACATAAAGTGATGAGTTATCATGAACAATCTTATAAAAATTGTCTAAAAGTCTATAAAAAGCTAGATAAACAATTACATAATAATAGAGAAGTATGTTATAACTATAATTTTGGATTAAAATGTTCATTCAGTTTTAAACTAACCATTATATTTATTGTACAACTGGTTGATTCTATGCTTTAAAATATTAAAACAGGTTTTTGCTACGGTCCTTATCATATCAGGCTGGGTGGACAAAAAACTATGACATATCTGTATTTAAAATTTGTTTTCCTTGACATTGCAGGCCTTTTCAGCATATATCTGTCTATAACTGTCATATTAGACATAATAAAAGATTTAATGATTAATCACAACGAAAGTGACCTGCGCCGTTCGGTAAACAAAACGGGCCGTCCGATTCACATACCAACGCTCTACGTATTGAGCTAACCGGACAGTGGTTTTGTAGATTTCAAAAGATTCCATATAGACATGTATGTAGGTGAGGTCATCTACATGTAGAAGACATTTCCTCAGATGTTATATCCAGTATGAATGTCAGTTTGTAGACTGAAAGGCTATAAAAATGTATAAAAAATATTTTTGCTTGAGAGCATGTCGTGTCCGTGTCTACCATAAAACTATCCACATAGCTAAGTGCCTTTTATTCCTTTCGTATTTCTTCCTCTTTTCAGCCAGCCGAAACTTGTCTGTAAAATTATATGTACGAGCGAATTCAATTTCATCAGCTAAATTGTATTTATAATTACAAATGGACATTAGGGCCTCGGCATTACTTCAGTGATGAAACAAAAAGTATCATTTTTTAAATATATGTGTTAATGGAATTCAACTCTGGTCCAAAAATGAAAGAAAGAAAATTGGCACTTAAAATGGCAAGGTATGCACAAGATATTAAAAACAGATATATATACTCAAATCTTTCTGTGCTATTCCTATTTGAGCTTTAAGCGTTTAGTCATTTTCAAGAAGTAAAATGATTAATTATAAAAAAAGGATTGAGCGAATAATCTGAAATTCTACGTACAAATTATGGGTCAAGACCATCAAATGGTGAACGAATCGGAGAAAACGTCAGGGGTCTCCCTTTAACTTCAAAAATGGCTCAATTTTGGTACCTAATTTATTTACTAAACATGTCACTTTTATTCATTTGACATTTATTTACAAAATGAAATTTCAAAAACGTAAAATTGCTTTAACGCGATTACTATCAACTAAAGCATGAACCTTTCGTTCCTCACCGAAAAAAAAATAGTTTGTTTAAACGCGGCAGAATAAGAACCTTTAAACTATTTTGAGGACTAATGACACAAACACTGAAATTGTTGTTAACAGTAACAATTAAAATTAAATAGTACATTTTTGACACACCTGAAGTAATCTGGAAAAACATCTGCAAAAACCTTCAATACATGTTGCGCATCTATGTACTATTTGAACAACACATGATGACTTCGCCAAATCATGCACAGTTTTCTCGGGGTCTTCCTTTTGCGCCTGGATAAGAAAATAATAAAAAAAGGTGCAGCATCATTAAACATGAACATGAAAAAACACACAAAAAAACAACAAAAAAACAACAAAAAAACGGTATGTCTATACAGTTCAATTTATCTATTTTTAGAACAGACAAAATTGATTTTAGCATTAAGGTCTGATTGATGTTTTTTTTACTTGTAAAGAAGTTCATCTTTTGAACCCTGGGTTGTTATCTCTTTTCAAATTTCAAAACAGTTTTTATTGTTCAAAATTTCGAATTATCACTTTTTCCTAGATATTTGCTATATCGGAATAATATTGTTTTTTTTAAATGAAATAAAAATGATAAATTATTCAGTGCAAAATCTGGCGATATTTCCTGCATTTTTATCGTACAAACATGTCTACCTACCTTTAAAGTTAAATCATCAACAGCTCTTTCTAAATGGACTATCGTGTTGTCCTTTGTTACCATTTGTGCGGACAGTTTAGCCGTGATGGTTCTTTCTATTTCCAAATCAGTTTTGTACTAGAATTACACGTGTTAAATTAGCAAAATCGTTGAATTTTTAAACAAGGTACGTATATGAATATATGAAATAATATTTTGATAAAGGTCTGCTTAAATTAGTAATTTTATTCCATTTTTTTTCAAATACAAAATGAATGAATAGATAAGTATTTCAAACCCTTCAGTAACCAAGATCAGCACTAAATCTTTAGATATATATAAGATAGGATTAATTTTCACTGTCATATACATATATTGCATCCTCGTTCGACGGATATCTGTCCGTTTATTTAATTTGGTGCTAACGAGGATACCAACCAAGTACTCGATGGAATGATTTTTTTCTATCATTTTCTACCATGTTTAAAATGGTTTACCTCTATAATTCGTTATTGAAATAATTAATTTCCTCCCTATCTATATTCTTATAGTTGCAGATGAATTTACTTCATACATTGCGATAAAAATACGCCATTTTGGAGTACTCGACTCATCTGGCAGGAGTGAAAAAGAATAAATTTTTTGGCATGGGTAAAATCACACCACTATCACCAGCATGAACACATCATATATTTTTAAAAACAAAATAAAGGAGGTTACCTGGTTGGTTATTCCTTTAAGTGAAATACAACACAAACTGAATGTTTTTTTAGAACATTAATTATATAAAATATATTAACCTGCTCTATCTGGCGACGTAATTCAATGACAGCAAAGCGAAGATCATCGACACTAGCTTTAAGGTACACACACTGATTCGTCTCCTAAATTAACCATTAAGTTAAATTCAATAAATACTAAGCTACAAAAACACTTCATTTTTATATATAGCTAGTTTGTAATGTGTCTTTATATACGAGTATGGGTACAGAGGAAAGAAACACGTATTTTTTTTCACAGCTTTTGTCCTTTTTATACGCCCTTTTGAAAAACAGATCTTAGGTCTTATCATAGTTCCCCCCTGGCGGACGGTCAGGCGGGCGGGCGGCGTCCAAATTTTGTCCGGAGCATATTTCCGATCCGCATAGAGGAATTTTAATGACGCACATAACTATGAGAAGCCATGTAGCGCACATGAATCAGGTCTCTAGGTCAAAGGTCAAGGTCACACTTATAGAGGTCATTGAAAAATGCTTCTTCTTTATGCATGGAGGGATTTCAATACAACATGGCACAAATGCACACCATTGTGAGGCGGAGTGTCGCGTGCAAAATTTAGGTCTTTGTGGTCAATGTCACATGTAGGGGTCAACGTTCAGATAAAAATATGAAAATGTGTATTCGGACCCATCATTAATTGAGGGACTGAAACACAAATGGTCCTAATCATGACTACTGGTGTGAAATTCTTTAATACATGCAAGGTCAAGGTCACTAAAGATGATTTCTGAAATTCTGATGTTATAGTCCACGTTGGATGGCCACCCCGTATAACCAACAATGTTGATTTCAGAAGTTCAGAAATATACATACCGAAATGGCGAAAATATGAGCCATACTGAGATTATATCCAATTTGTGCTTTGTATAATCCTGCAAATACTTCATTTGCCGGTAAACCCTATAAATATATGTTAAATAAAACTGCCAGTTATACATAATACATGTATCAAGATATAATATTATCATCATCGAAAAATGTAGCAGAATTGTCAAAACATAATATTGACTGTTCTTATATCGAAACATAATATAGAACTGATATTGATTCAATAATAAAAGCATTGATACTAATCTAAATACTGGACTGATATTGAACTTATTTCGTGACGTAATATAGAACTGATTTTGAGACAATAACACATAACTGATTTCTATAACTGATGTCGAAACATGATAAAGTACTGAACAGATATCAAAACATAATATAAAACTGATATCGAAACTTAATATAGAACTGGCATCGAGATATAAGATAGAACTGGTATCGAGCTTTGATATAAAGTTGATATCGAGAAATAACGTAGAACTGATATTGAGACATGAGATAGAACTGGTATTGAGACATGATATAGAACTGGTATTGAGACATGATATAAAACTGGTATTAAGACATGATATAAAACTGGTATCGAGATATGATATAGAAATGGTACCGAGATATGATATAGAACTGGTATTGAGACATGATATAGAACTGGTATTAAGACATGATATAAAACTGGTATCGAGATATGATATAGAAATGGTACCGAGATATGATATAGAACTGGTATTGAGACATGATATAGAACTGGTATCGAGACATGATATAGAACTGGTACCGAGATATGATATAGAACTGGTATTGAGACATGATATAGAACTGGTATTGAGACATGATATAAAACTGGTATTAAGACATGATATAAAACTGGTATCGAGATATGATATAGAAATGGTACCGAGATATGATATAGAACTGGTATTGAGACATGATATAGAACTGGTATTGAGACATGATATAGAACTGGTATCGAGATATGATATAGAACTGGTATTGAGACATGATATAGAACTGGTATCGAGACATGATATAGAACTGGTACCGAGATATGATATAGAACTGGTATTGAGACATGATATAAAACTGGTACCGAGATATGATATAGAACTGGTATCGAGACATGATATAGAACTGGTTTCGAGACATGATATAAAACTTGTACCGAGACATGATAAATTATAGAACTGGTATCGAGATATGATATAGAACTGGTACCGAGACATGATATAAAACTGGTACCGAGATGAATGATAAAACTGGTACCGAGATATGATATAAAACTGGTATCGAGACATGATATAGAACTGGTACCAAGACATGATATAGAACTGGTACCGAGATATGATATAGAGCTGGTACTGAGATATGATATAGAACTGGTATCGAGACATGATATAGAACTGGTATCGAGACATGATATAGAACTAGTACCGAGATATGATATAGAACTGATACCGAGACATGATATAAAACTGGTACCAAGACATGATATAGAACTGGTACCGATACATGATATAGAACTGGTTCCGAGACATGATATAGAACTGGTATCGAGACATGATATAAAACTGGTACCGAGACATTATATAGAACTGATACCGAGACATGATATAAAACTGGTATGGAGACATGATATAAAACTGGTACCGAGACATGATATAGAACTGGTACCGAGACATGATATAGAACTGGTACCGAGATATTATATAGAACTGGTATCGAGACATGATATAGAGCTGGTACCGAGACATGATATAGAACTGATACCGAGACATGATATAAAACTGGTATCGTGACATGATATAAAACTGGTACCGAGACATGATATAGAACTGGTACCGAGACATGATATAGAACTGGTACCGAGACATGATATAAAACTGGTACCAAGACATGATATAGAACTGGTATCGAGATATGATATAAAACTGGTACCGAGACATGATATAGAACTGGTATCGAGACATGATATAGAACTGGTACCGTGACATGATATAGAACTGGTACCGAGATATGAATATAGAACTGATACCGAGACATGATATAAAACTGGTACCAAAGACATGATATAAACTGGTACCAAGACATGATATAGACCTGGTATCGAGACATGATATAGAACTGGTATCGAGACATGATATAGAACTGGTACCGAGATATGATATAGAACTGATACCGAGACATGATATAAAACTGGTACCAAGACATGATATAAAACTGGTACCGAGACATGATATAGAACTGGTACCGAGACATGATATAGAACTGGTACCGAGACATGATAAATTATAGAACTGGTATCGAGATATGATATAGAACTGGTACCGAGACATGATATAAAACTGGTACCGAGATATGATATAAAACTGGTACCGAGACATGATAAATTATAGAACTGGTATCGAGACATGAGATAGAACTGGTACCGAGACATGATATAAAACTGGTATCGAGATATGATATAGAACTGGTATCAAGATATAAAATAGAACTGGTACCGAGATATGATATAGAACTAGTACCGAGACATGATATAAAACTGGTACCAAGACATGATATAAAACTGGTACCAAGACATGATATAGAACTGGTATCGAGATATGATATAGAACTAGTACCGAGACATGATATAAAACTGGTACCGAGATATGATATAAAACTGGTACCGAGACATGATAAATTATAGAACTGGTATCGAGAAATGATATAGAACTGGTATCGAGATATGATATAAAACTGGTATAAAGACATGATATAGAACTGGTATCGAGACATTATATAGAACTGGTACCGAGACATGATATAGAACTGGTATCGAGATATGATATAAAACTGGTATCGAGACATGATATAGAACTGGTACCGAGACATGATAAATTATATCTGGTATCGAGATATGATATAGAACTGGTATCGAGACATTATATAGAACTGGTACCGAGACATGATAAATTATAGAACTGGTATCGAGATATGATATAGAACTGGTATCGAGATATAAAATAGAACTGGTACCGAGACATTATATAGAACTGGTACCGATACATGATATAGAACTGATATCGATACATGATATAGAACTGGTATCGAGATATGATATAGAACTGGTATCTAAATATGATATAAAACTGGTATCGATACATGATATAGAACTGGTACCGAGACATGATAAATTATATCTGGTATCGAGATATGATATAGAACTGGTATCGAGACATTATATAGAACTGGTACCGAGACATGATAAATTATAGAACTGGTATCGAGATATGATATAGAACTGGTACCGAGACATGATATAAAACTGGTACCGAGACATGAAAAATTATAGAACTGGTATCGAGACATGAGATAGAACTGGTACCGAGACATGATATAAAACTGGTATCGAGATATGATATAGAACTGGTATCGAGATATAAAATAGAACTGGTACCGAGACATTATATAGAACTGGTACCGAGACATGATATAGAACTGGTACCGAGACATGATATAGAACTGGTACCGAGATATGATAAATTATATAACTGGTATCGAGATATGATATAGAACTGATACCGAGACATGATATAGAACTAGTACCGAGACATGATATAGAACTGGTACCGAGACATGATATAGAACTGGTACCGAGACATGATATGGAACTAGTACCGAGACATGATATGAACTGGTATCGAGAACATGATATAGAACTGGTATTGAGAGATGATATAAAAACTGGTATCGAGACATGATATAGAAACTGATACCGAGACATGATATAGAACTGGTACCGAGATATGATATAAAACTGGTACCGAGACATGATATAGAACTGGTACTGATATATGATATAGAACTGGTATCGAGACATGATATAAAACTGGTATCGATATATGATATAGAACTGGTACCGAGATATGATATAGAACTGGTACCGAGATATGATATAGAACTGATACAGAGACATGATATAGATATGGTATCGAGACATGATATAGAACTGGTATCGAGATATGATATAGAACTGGTATTGAGACATGATATAGAACTGGTATCGAGACATGATATAGAACTGATACCGAGACATGATATAGAACTAGTACCGAGACATGATATAGAACTGGTACCGATACATTATATAGAACTGGTACCAAGACATGATATAGAACTGGTACCGTGACATGATATAAAACTGGTATCGAAATATGATATAGAACTGGTACCGAGATATGATATAGAACTGATACCGAGACATGATATAGAACTGGTACTGAGATATGATATAAAACTGGTCCCGAGACATGATATAAAACTGGGACCGAGATATGATAAATTATAAAACTGCTATCGACATTTAATATAGAACTGATATCGAGACATAGTATAAACTGCTATCGAGATATGGTATAAAGCTGATATCGAGATATGATATATAACTGATATCAATACATAATATAAAGCTGCTATCTAGATATGATATAGAACTGATACCGAGACATAATATAAAGCTGACATCGAAACATGATTAAGAACTGATATCGAAAGATGATATAGAACTGATATCGAAACATAATATAGCTGATATTGAGACATGATATCGAAATGATATCAAGACATAATATAGAAGTGACATCGAAACATGATATAGAGCTGATATCGGAACTTTATACAAATATGATACAGTATTTATATTATGTTTAAATATCAAGCATAATTTTGAAAAAAAAACATTTAAATTTTGTTATGGCACAATACAAAGGTTTTTCAAACATGTTTAGGAGCACCATAGATGTCGGTTTGGCCCCATTTACTGCGCATGTGCGAGATTATTTTGGATTGTAGTTTGAATGGCATTACGCAATCTATAGTTGGTTAGATACGTAATCAAGTAGTGTGTATTATATAATTAATCTTAATAGACAGGTTTTATAACAACGGGGATAAGAATACGAACAAAGGTGTATTGTTAGTTAGATTATTTATATTAAACGTGCATTATAATAATGACAAAGGGGAGTTATTTACGAATGTTGATTAAAAGTATAGAAGAAGAAGAAGAAGAAGAAGAAGAAGAAGAAGAAGAAAAG